TTTAATATTTATGAGGTGCCAAGTGGTTCCCACAGAGAATCTGATGTTCATAGAATCATAGAATCATAGAATGCTTAGGGTTGGAAGGGACCTCTAGAGATCATCTAGTCCAACCCCCCTGCATACGCAGGGACACCTAAAGCACGTGGCGCAGGACTGCATCCAAACGGGTTTTGAAGATCTCCAGAGAAGGAGACTCCACAACCTCTCTGGGCAGCCTGTTCCAGTGCTCTGTCACCCTCACTGTTAAGAAATTTTTCCTTAAGTTCCTATGGAATTTCTGGTGCTTCAGTTTCCGGCTGTTTCCTCTAGTTCTATCAGAGGCCACCAGTGAAAAGCAGCCAGCACCATCCTCCTCAATCAGAACATTTCAAAGAGTTGAGGAGGAATTAAAAGCCCACCATTTATTCTACAGAACTTAGTGCCACAGAGCATCCTTTGCCGCTACCCTTCTACTCCCCACCTCATTAATGGCCTGAAAACCAAGCCCCACCACAGACCACAGATTTTGCTTCCCAGCTCGGAGCCAGAGCAGGTCAATGTTTATTCCTCCTTCGTACTCACTTTTCCCAACTAAACTCACTGATTAACCCTCTAAGGATGTTTTGATTCATCGGATGACAACTCAATCTATCGCACCCAAGTGCCGTCCTTACTGTCACCCTACCAAGTGGCTCAGAGTATTTGTGTCCCCACTGCATACACTGGGCGGGTTCACACTCAAACCAGTTCCCCCATGGACTGCATGTTCTTGCAGTGAAAATTAAGATGCTTTGGAAAATATAGCTCAGGTTTTGATATGCAAAGGTTAAATTTCAAAATCTTCTAGTTAAAGAGGAAAGGGAAAGACCCCAGCCAAGAAAACACCTTCCAGGGTTCCACTCTGCTGCAGAAAACACAGCCAGGGCTCAGCAGCTCCACTCAGCCTGTGAAACAAATCACTGGCCAGCCATGCAGCTGCATAACTCTACATAATAAACCCTTGCCTGCATACTCCTGGCAGAAGTTAGCCCTTTATGTTCTGGGAGATGCAATTTTAAGGGAGTTTTCTCTGTCACTTTATTTCCCAGGTGTTAGTCTCTAGCAGACTCATTTAGTCATCAAGGACAGAGCTGCAAAGGCCATTTTGTGTCTCATTATTGCTGCCAGATAGTGAAGAGCAGGCAATGTTATTATGCCAAGAAATGGGAAGTAGTGAGCGGTAGCAATTCTAAGGGAGCTCCCCTGCCCTCCCCAGTGCAATATGACTTGTCTGACTCCACACGTGAGAACGTTGCTCTCGAGATGCAGATCCCTAAGGCTGACAAGGTCTTTACAGATGGGAGCTGTGACATCTTTTCAATTAACTAGTGTTTATTAAAAAACAAACCAAAAAAGATACTGTGAATAAATGAGTTAATTTTCATCTTAGCCATAAAGCAATCAGGCCTTGACCACTACCTTAATTTTACAGCTTCAAGCTGCTCCTGTCAAAGCTGAGGGAACACAGTCTTCCATTTGAACATGACTGCAAGTAAGTTAGCCTTCTCCCAGAGCTTAATAGCTCCTTAATAGCTGTGAACTTACCAATGGCGAAGATCTCTATACCCATGTTTTTCAAGGTCTGAGCAACCAGGTTGGCATCATCTTGGGATTTTCCATCAGTCAAGAGGATCACCAACTTCTCTGCTTCCAAGCGGGCACCAGATTCCGGTTTTAGATTCTGCTCCAGGACGTGGGTCAAAGCGAGACCTGGGGTAGAACACAGAGGGGATGGTGGGCTAGAGCATTGCACGGCATCCTCAACCTTCATTTTTTACTTCTGCCATATAGTGGCCGTGTTTCCTGTGTAGGATATCCTCCTATGAGCCCAGTTTTCTGGCCTGCAAGCTCAGAAACCATTTAGCAGACATCTAAGAGCTGGACTTGCCTGTAAATGTGTTGCCTCCTTTGTACCGCAAATTCCGCACGGCTTCCAGCACCTCATCCCTCGTAGTGTATGTGTTCAAATCCCATTCTGTGCGGGGATCACTGCTGTACTGGGACAGCCCTGGGGAAGGCAAGAGCTATTAGCATCGGGGTAAGATGAGACCAGTTTCAGGAGAAGGAGATTATAGGCTTGTCATGGTAGGATCATAAAAAATAGTGAATAAAGTGCTGGAGTTGGGGCCAATAGACCTGGGTTTTAGCTCTACTTCTCTTCATGGTCCTTCGTACACAGATGAGGTGATGCCTCACTGGGTGCAGTGTTGCTTACCCCTGTACCAGTGCTCTGAAGGAGCCGACAGTTTCTCAGCATCATTCAGAAATGCTCCCAGGTCAAACTAAGCAGCTCCAAGGGGTCAGAAGGATTTGCTCTGTCCCCACATATATTCTGCTCTTTTTAATTTCCTTGGGTCAGGAAACAGGAAGGTTTCCTACCTATTCTTATCTTGTCCTGGGCAATATTGAATGGGGAAATCAAAGTGCTCAGGAATTCCTTAATTAGCTTGAAATTGTTGCGTCCAATGCTCCAAGACCCATCCACAAGCAGGACAATATCAATCATTGCAGATGTGTCACACTGGAACTGGGAACCTGAGGGAGATAATGCTAAAAATAATATTATTATATTCTAATAATATTGAAATATATAATAATATTGAAATAATAACAATAATGAAAGGATAATAACAATGAGAGGAGAAAAATGAGGAAAAATTATTTGATTTTTAAGACAAGAAACAAGTCTGAACTGTAAAGGTTGCTCTGCCTGACAGATTGGACCATCTGCCAAACTGCCACATCCCATCATCTTGGTAAAATCCATGCAGCTAAGGGCAACAGGACTCTGTACCAAGACACTGAGTGGTGAGGAGTTGCCCTTAATCTGCAATTAAGGAGTTAAATTTATCAGAAACTGTGCTCCTAACCTAGGCACTGCTCTCTGCAAACTGTCAGCTTGATTACATCTCAGCCCTGGTCTAGTGCTTCCCTTTTATCTCACTCTATGTCTCAAAGAATTGCAGGTGATTGTTTAATTCCATTCCACCATGAGATTCCCTGTGGGCTATAATTATTTAGTGGCTTTATATAAATCCAATCTCTTCCTAAAAACCTGCTAGCATTGCAGATACTCAGTCCTGCCTTTCTCCCCAGCCCAGGCCTGCAGCTTAACAGCGGATAAGATAGGGCATGTTGTTCATTAAAGGCATCTTCCCTGAATATTTTTACGTCTGTGATGAAGCAAAATAGAGGATACCATCAAGATTCAGTAGACTGCAAACAAGTTACTCTCCTATCTCTTTTCACAGCTGTGACTTCCTACTAGTCTCAGGAGACCAAATGAAGGTGTTTTGTCCAACCCCATTTTCACCAGTATGAGTCCTCTTCAGAAGTGCTGTTAACCACCTATCCTGCCATATTCTTAACGGACAAAACTGAAAGACCAAAATGGATCAGTTATCTGGGAAACATGAAGAATAAGTCCAGCACGTGGAGCAGGTTGGATAATCAAATCCATCGAAACACTCCTCACCTTCTAAAGACTTATTTGCCCTTTGAGTAGGTCCATGGTTGGGTGGGACTCTTCAAGAATGCAAACCCTTATATGCATCTGTCAGAACTTTGGGGAGGTCACATGTGTCAAACACAAATGTTTACGCTTGTGAAAACAAGACCTCTGAAGACTGGAAGAAACCTTCAAAACAAGTGGGAGTTTGCTGCCAGTCAGAGGAGCTACTGCCCGTGCTACCAGTTACAGAATGAGTCTTTTTTTCCAGTTAGAAAATCATTATCACTCTGGACCGGATTTTGATTGTTCCTTAGAAAAGGTACTGATAAAGGTGTTGGCTATTGATGTCATTTTATGGCCCATGTTGGAAAGCAGCAGTTGTGACTGGGGAGTGCTATACATCCTATTTTACAAATGGGGAAATGATAAAAGAATGTGAATTTGAACTCAGGCTGCCTCTGTCCCAGACATAGATCATTCTTCCCCTCCATGGATTAATAGGTCAGGATAATTGAGATAGTGACTGGGAAGTCTGAATAAGCAACTCGCAGTCCACATTTGGACTAGTCAACCCTCACAGTTTGGGACAGCTCATCTAAATCACACAATATTGCTCTGCTTCTTCAGTGGATATCACAAACCTCTAAGCTGGAAAATCATGAATGAAGAAGAGAGGAGAATGAATAAATGAACCATCCAGAAGGAATTTATGGCCAGTTTTCCTCAAAATCCATGATGCTTTGCAGAACTGCATGCTTTTCCAGTGATCCGTGGTATTTCCCCAAAGCATGACATAGCGCTTAAAAGCAAAGTCAACATCAATCTTATTCCTGGAAACCCTGGTGGCAGATAGTGGGCCATAAAAAAAGAGGAATGCTTGCAACCCCACTCACCTCTCTTCAGTGAGTCCTTGGTGGGTTTTTCTTTGCCTGGAGACTCTCGTCCCGTGTTTGCAGGAGTGCGCTGCGGTGATCTAGTGCTTGTTGCTGTTGCTTCTGTCACACTGGCCTCAGCGCTGGCTCGGTTTCTCATAGCTTCACCAGAGACCTTGGCGTGACTCCCTTTCTGTCTTTTCCTTTCCGTTCTGTCCTTTGCTGTGCTCCAGAAAGAAACATCCCATTATCCCTACCTGTGTTAACACCCATGCAAGCTTCTGCATTCATTGCCTGATTTAATTCATTCATTTTACAGAAGTGTGGGGAGCACATAGAAGGTAAAAGTCCTGTAAGCTTTACAAAAACAAGTGGCTAGATAGACAAGATCGTCTCCATTCATGCCTCTCTGATGGAAGGACTGCACATGGGCTCATGAGTTAACATAGGAATGCTGATGACATCAAAAGCTTGTCCATTCCACTATCTTTGACATGGAATAATAATGAATGTCCATAAACTATAACACCAAGGAAAGCATACCATGATCATATGTGGTGCACTGTCCAGACTCCAGCAATCTGGGACTCGGAAATAACCTGAGCAAACAGTGGTCTCTATGTGCGATTGCCCCTGATACATCTCTCTTCCATAAACATGAATAGCTGCATATCCTTACCCAACCATCCATCCACCAGACATCTGGGCATTGCCCCAATGGTCTGTGCACCTACCTGTCTGTGTCAAGACCACAGTCAGCGGTGGTGAAGTGGTCGCTGATGCTGAGTCATGCTCAGCTGTTGAACTCCCTGGAGATGTGAGGTTCTTTTCGGATATGGTTCCTGAGTTTCTTCTGTTATTCCTAGTCTGGGATGCATTTTTGAGCTCTTCAACTATGGGAACAGCAAAATAGGAATATGGAGCCAATGTAGGCACGTCTATGAGCTTCATCACTCATCATTTTTGGTCTTCTCCACTCCTTTTCTAACTCTCCAGTCAAAATGATAACAGACAGTTCTGCTATTGCAGCAGAGTCTACAAGGCACATGCCAGAGGATGAACTCTGAAAAGCCAAGACTGTGAGAGCCTCAGGGCTTTCTGCATGGAGCACAGAAAAGCAGCACACACTACTTACTCACGAATTTCCTTTTGGCAAACAGGGCTTCCTGGGAGCCATTAAGCACATAGACCTGCAATGTGTATTCCTTGGTAGGGCTCAGCCCCGCAACTGTGGCTTTGGGAGTCTTGGTTTTCAGCATAACTTCTTGCTCCGAGTCCCCTGAGGTAGGATGAAGGTAGGATGAGTCTGTCAGAGTTGAAATTTTAAATGACAGTAGCAAAAAGCATAGCTGAAATGCAGAGGATGCCTGTCTAGGGACCTCAATCAACTCTAATTTCCTTTTTCATTTTGTGGATCTCCTCACAATTTGGACTTTTTTTTTCCCCAGACTAAGGCTAAGAAAATATTTTAAAATCCCTGATACATGCCCAAAATAGAAAACAAATTTCCACTCAGCATTAGTGCAACTCTCATCAGCTTCTCTAGGAGTTGTTGGTATTTCTGCTTTTGAAAAGTCAGTCTTTGGGGGCTGCAGGTTGGACCATTACTCGTGAGGACCACTTATGGAAGCAGCCAACCATGCGATTGGCTTGAGGCCATAGGTGACAAAGTGAGGAACAAGTTTTGCATGTCCTGAGGTCTAGGCTGGCACTTGGGATTCACTTTGCTCATCTCAGCTGCTCTTGCCATGCTGTCTATCCCAGCAAGCCCCATCTTTCTCTGGAGGATCAGCTGAAGTCTGCAGATAGAGAGCTCATTTCTGCGATCAACACTGCTTCCAGCTCCCCACAGCCCTTGCTCAGGCTCCAGACATCACCAGGTCTCCTGATGGGCTTCACTGCTCTCCAAAGGCAGCACCTCTTGGCCCATGGAAGCTATCCCAGGGCTGTAATCCCTCTGATCAGCTGGGAACTGGGTTGTTTCCATGTGAAGATGTCAGGGAGCAGATGGAGTGAGACAGCCCTTCCAAGCGACAGCAAAGTACAGCACAGAGATCTCTATTCCCAAGTGATGCAGGGAAAGTTTGGGGATCACAGGAACAAAATGAAGGAAAAGAGACAATCAAAACAGCTCCTTAAAATCTTCTGGTTAAGAAAGATCCGTGATTCTGTAATTATGATAATGGATGAGATCTGACCCCTCAGCTCCTGAGCTCATGCCTAGCTAGACATGGAGCTCCCCAGCCTACGCAGTGGGGAAAGCCTTAGGCATGTACCAGGGAGTGCATGCCTGAGCGCAGGAAGGGAATTCCCTGCATTCCCGGGATGCTCACTGCTCTCGGCCCTCCACCAAAGCCTGCGGAGGGACAGGGGAGGGCAGGAATGAGGAACGCTTTGCTCCTGCTCCCTAAACAGGTGCAGGCTGCGCTAAAAGCAGACAGGGGAGCAAATGTGCTCCCATGGTTGAAAAAAAGGCTCACTGGGATAAGGGCAGTGACTGCAGTTCTCTCCAAAAGCTGAATGCCAGACAAGACTAAGGTTCCCTCTTTGCTGCCAGCCATCGCTCCCGCCGGGGGATGTAGTGTCCTTCCAACACCACCAGCTTCAATGTCAAAAGCCAGGACAACTGGAGCCTGGCCAGGGGAGGAAGCCAGGAGGCCGAGCCCCACTGCAGGACTCGCGCTGCGGGATCAAGGACTGCAGCCCGGAATCCCCACGTGAGCCAAATACGGGAGCAGAGCTCTAATGAGAGGGAATGCAACTGCAGAGGGGACCAGGACGGGGCAGTGACATCTTGCAGCCACATCCAGCAAGTTATAACTATGGCACCTTCCACCTCTTTGCTTCTTTCACTCCGCTTTGGATAAATGCTCAGTGGTGGCAAGAGACAAAATTTCTGGTGAAAACGTAACTACTGATACAGAAGTGGAACAGCTTCCATGGAAGAACAAAACAACAAACTTTTCCCAGTCTTGTATCTCAGTCCTAAACAGTAACATTTCTGGCTAAGGCATTCCCTGAGGCTGAAAGGGACTGAATTTCACATCTTTGTTGCAAATCAGTGATTGGGTGATTTGATAATCCTTTCCTATGCTACACTAGCAAAGCCCTGTTACTCACTGCTCTTTTGCTGGCCGGAACGGTTCCTTGTCCAGAGTGCTATGGAAAATTTTGATCTAGTTTAATCAGCACAAAGTGAAAACAAGCAGTATTTAATTCCCTTTCCTGATTTCTATCCCACTAACTGATGCTTGTAATCAAGTTCTGCTGGCCACGATACACACCAGCCAAATCCAGGGCTCAATCCCCATGTGCATACAAATATTTGCTCAGCCTCATGTACAACCCATTAGCACATACCTGCCATGGGCTTTACCCGAACTTTGTAGCCACTGATGTTCCCTTCAGTTTCCTTCCATTTCATTTGGAGTCTGTCTTCCGAAAGGACAGTGAGCTTCAGTCGACCTGATCCTGGAGGATAAGTGTCATGTTGTCACGTATGGAATTCTTCCAATATGTTCATGCACCAAATACCCCACGAGCTGTCTCCTCTGGGGACAATAATTACAGTGCAGAGGAAACCTTCACTGTCCCACCAAGTGTTTTACATCCCCTAACACTGCACTTGAACTCCTGCAGAGTTTTGCTGTGTGTTGAGTGAGAACTCAGCACATCCTTCTGCAAACAGAAGCAGCAGTCTGGAATAGAAGGGGGGCTTTCTCTGCACCCCGCACATCCTAGGAAGACCATTCCCAAGAGTTTTTCTGCAGCATGCTTTATGTGTGGCATTCAGCAAGCATGTTAGAGTGCCCTCTTATGAAATGAGGTGGCAAGAGACAGATAAGTGCAATCTGTAAGGCTGTGAGACTCAGGCTTCCGAGAAATACAGAAATTCCCAAGGTGATGGATTCCATACTATGGCAGGAAGATCATCACTTCAGAGGCCGCACCAAGGACCAGCTTAAGAAAAAAAAACAGGAATGAACAAGAAAACCTGATAAAGAGTAAATAATAGCTCTTGACAGGACCATAACTCATGGGTGGCAGCTTGTACCAGCTTGCTGCAGGGAGAAGCAAACTAAAAAGACAAATCCTGAGGAAAAACATCAAGGAAGCAAAATGAAGAAGAAACAAGGCTAGCCCATTCCCTTCAGCATCTTCAGATTTGAGAGAGATCTTTTAAACCCCAACTAGATATTTAAACTCATGTGTCACTCTGAAACAATGATTCCTTAATAAAATAGAGCTGTACCATTGTACAAACATCACTGTGTGAAGTTTTCTCACTTCACTGGATAAAAGATGGCAGATTTATCTCCTCTCCTTCCTTGTATTCTACCTGTACCTGCCTTTTCAGCAGGCTTCCTTAAAGCGCAATGAAGAAGAGCATCCTTTGCCTGCATACTATAAATATCAGCACTCAAATGATTAACCAGAACAGCACCTACATCTGCAACAAGCACGGACACAGATTAGCCCCACAGCTGACAACAAGTGCCATGATAGTGGCCAACTAAAGACACAAACACTGAGCTGGGCGTAGAAGCGTGACATAACCTAGCATGTGCTTTGCACCTACAAATACATGGCAGAAGAGTCAGTAAAAGCATGGACACTAGTTGGGGAAAGAAAAGGCAAGAATGAGTTACACTCTTGATCTCAACACAGTGTGGACAGAACCCAAACATATGATGTTTGACATTTTGAAAAACAGGGATTTCATATCATTCTCTTTATCATTAGTCAACAAAAGCTAAAGAAGGCATCGAGTTTCCTGCTCAGTGCTGGCAAACTCTGTGCTGCACAGGCATCCTTGGGTTCCTAGCATGGTCTTGCATGACATCCAGACATCTCCTGACATCTTTTCCATGAAGTCACAACCCAAAAGAGCGTGGAAAGCTGGCAGTGAGGACTGGCTGGTTTCAGCCCAACATCTGAGTCTTAACCTCTCATCATGGACGCTTCCTGCAGGCTGCCCAACAAGCAGATAACTATGTTAGGAAAACAAAGCTCAGATTCACATCTCACCCCAGGCAAATATGAAGAGGAAGAAAGAATACAGAATAGAAGGGGGGATAAGGGCAAAATCAAGTCCCAGAATCATGACTAAGAGAAATGGTAAAAGATCTTGGAACAATGAGGGGAATTCATCGGCGGATGAAACATGGAGCTGTCTTCTTCTGGACACATATGTTCCAGCTCCTCAGCCATCCCTGTAGGAGCCCAAAAGATAAAAAGGCAAGAATGTCCACAGAGAGATCTGAAAGGACAACATCCTCTAAAGCGCCATTATGCGCTGATGCAAATGAAGCCCAGTGCCATGAAAGCTCTACTGTTTCTCTGGCCGGTGTTGGATGTGCATCATTTGATGCCGTAACCTTGCTCTCCAGTTGATTTGGAGTGAAGTCCAGATACACTGGAGAGGCAGGTCTGGAAGATGCACAGCATGGAGAAACATCTGTCCAAATTCTAAAGTGCCACTACCCGCCCAGAAGCCCCTGTACCAACCACTTATACAGAGGTAGATAAAGGTAGACCTTAACATCAAAAAGCATATGATGAGGTTCCATGGTATTTTCTGTTCTTTTGTGATACCATGGGAGTGCTGCGTGTTACAGAAGGAATGCATCTAGTGTGCTTTCTGATCCAGATGTTGCAGCACATACTGCCATATTGCTTCAAAGCAATAGTTTCAGAGTGCAGGACAGATGCAGCGATTAGTAGAAACAATATTACTTTTTTAAAAATCATTTTTCAAGCTCTGTTAGCAGATCACATAAGCATCCTTCATTGCTTACACAGGCAGAAATGCATCCCTGGTGTCACGGTGTGGTGTGCTGAGCTGCTGCCAGTGCTGAGGACAGGCCTTGCAAGATGTGGAGGGACTAAGATGTTCCCCCTAGATAGGATTTCAGAGCAACCACGGAGAAGCTCCTTACCTTGGCTGCTCACTCGGCCCCAGACGTGACTCACCGCAGTCAGGCAGGCAAAAAAGAAGCAAGTGGGAATGTGCATGGTGACCAGGACCTACACGAAGGCAAACATCAAGAAAGAGAAGTAAAGTTGCATTTACTCAGATCAAAAGCCACTTTCATTATTCTAATTCTGCTGCCCTAGAATCCCCTCTCCTTTCTGCAGGAAAGCTTTGCTATGGAGCTTTGAACTGAAATCTCCTGGCATATACATATATTTTTTGAAGTCCCCAGTTAAGAGGCAAGTTGAAATCTACTACTCTATACCTCCCTAATAGTACTATAAGAGTGGACTGAGAAGCACATATTGAATTTTCCTGTGATTCCTATATTTGATTTTAGAGTCTTGCTCTGTGATACAGTTATTCATTGGTGCCTTGGACCAGTGCTAAACTGAGCTTATGCAGGCGATGGAGGGCAGGCTTTGGCCCAGGCCCCGCGTCTGTCTGCTCCTGGAGATGGACACTGCTGTGTCGGCAGGACAAGACCCACAGAGGCACAAGAGCGCATGCAGGGTTCTGCTCTCATCATGCACATGAGTAACATTGGTTAATACAATGGATGGACACAGATTCCAGAATAACTTTTCTTTCAAGCAATTCGTAAGTAATTACTACAGATTCAACCACGTCAATGAATTACTCTGTCCAAAAAATATTTTCTGCAGCATTTCTAGGGCTGGCTAGCTTAAGGACAGATGCCCATGACTCTGCATCTCACTGACTTCAAGGGAAGTCCTTTAATCTTTAACTGGCCTGGATGTAACCTTCCCTCAGTTTGGCTCAGAAAGGCTACACCAGCATTAAACCACCCTGGCTGATGGAAACGGTGCCTCCCCCTTGTCTCAGTGTCAATATGCAGAGTTTAAAACATATCTCAATATGCAGAGTTTAAAACATATGCTGGTGGCTTTTGCAACGCAGCGTTGGCATCTGTCATTCTCGTGCTACCCAGTTCAGCCTTACTGCTTTTGGCAGGACCAGACTATACACGAGTTTCTGCCTTTGCAGTCTGCTGCTGCATTTCATTCATTTTGATGGGCAGGTATTCAGCAGCTCTTGGCAAATGCCTATTTCCCATCAAATATGCCAGTTTTTTAATGATCAAATGGAAAAGAATATATGCAAGTGAATGATCGCCTATTTTTAAATAAAAAGTTCTAAAATGTTGTAAGATTAAATGGCAAAATATGCAAGTTATAATAGATAAATGTTAACAAACACCCTGCCCCCATACACACATGCACCCTGCTCCACTGGAGGAGGTTTTTCTTTTTTTTTCCTCCTTTGATTGAAGATCAAGTTATAGGGAACAACTGCAGTGTAACAGTAGCCCTTGGCCATGGGAAACACAAACTTTTTTTTTCCTCCAGCTAATAACATTAAGTCATTGCTTATAAAAAACAGCAAATATTTTACAGGTAGATTTTACGAATCTGACTATGATACTCAGAAAAGCAAAGCTTGCCCTTGCTATGCAGCCACTTGTGCTGAGCAACAGAGAGAAGTCTGCATTTCTGAAAAACTTCTCGAACCAACAGTAAATTTATTTTTGTTATTTTGCAATGCCAACAAATTTGCTCTTAGTTTCTTGTAACTTCTTGCAGCTCTGTCGGCAAACAGGATGCCAGAACTGCAAACACTGCATCGCATGTGCCCTTTTCATATTAACAAGTGTTACAGGGGTCCAAAGACCAGTGAAAAGAATGCACAGGCTTGTCCAACTGACACTGAATGGGGCTGATTGCAGGGTCTGACTCAGCCCTCAGCTTCCACCTCTGATGTCAATAAGGAGGAATTCAATATTAACTCAGATTGGGCCAAGTAAGTTCCAAAGAACATAAATCTTTACTCTTACAGCATTGCAGCTAAGGCAAGCAGCACGGGCTTAATGTTTCTTTCCTAGCTCAGAGAGAAGCCCACAGATATTCTGCTTCTCCTCCAAGTCTCATTTTGCTACCTGTAAAGCAGGGATGGAAAAAGATGCAACTGTTTCCGGCAGCTGCAGATATGTGGCTGGATATATGGTGGGATTCCCCATTCTTGCAGTACTTTCCACTCCAAAGGACACCTGCTACATCCCAAGTCCCTACCCGAGTGTCCGTGGGTGTCTCCCATCCATTGCTGCTCCTGGAAGCGCAGCCAGGCTGAGCCAAGCA